TATTTTAATATGGTAACATAATTATTTATTTAATTGTATTCCCATTTTAAATTATTCTATTTAAATAAGTTGTGATATGTATATTGAATGGATCTTAGTATGACTAAATATTTTTAATTATTATGCTGACCCACATTTCTAGAAAAATACCACTGTTTAAATTAAAAATAAAATAAACAGTGTATGATTAAAATAATAACAGATTCTTTTTGTCAAACATGTTGAAATAACATGAGTTTTTGAAGTAGAAAATATAGAATCTTCCCAATATTGATCGAAAATACTACAATTTGTTCAGTTATTCAATATTTTTCACACTCTTAACATCTACAAACAATTTAAATATGTAACTAACATTTGCATTGTATATCATGAATTATGACTAACTTCTATGTTATGTTTTCCTACATAAATTGTTAATTTTTGTTTTGTAATAGCAAAATTGAACATTTTTTATTAATAATAATTAAGCGCCAATTTTATTAATCATTCAGCTAAATCAGGAGTATTGTAACTCGAGAGACCATAATCCGGTGTTTTTTACAACAAATAAATATTCAAACGTTTAGAGAGAGTCGAGTTTTTATTAAAACTCAAAATATTAGCTATTACAAGTTGTATTATTCTACATAAGTAGTAAAGACCTGCAAGGACTAGATCAGCACAGCCAGTTCCTCAAAAAGCTCTTTATGTACTGAGACTTGGCCTGCAGGCTAGGCCTTAAAAATAAAAAAGGTTTGATCTGGGTGTCTTTGGTAAAACTCTAGGATGAGAAGGGACGAAACTTCAAATTTTTTGTCATACAAATAAATCATAATTTAAAATAAAAGTAGTAAGTTCACAGATCGACGTAGGTATTATAACAAATATTATATAGGTTCGTGGGACATGGGTACTGCGTATTAGCTTATTACACGAATCTTAAGCTTAACGTTTCATAAATATAAACATGTCCCATGAATTAAAAAACATATTTTAATCAATATTAACCTATATTACCTAAGAATTCATGATATACCAGATTCATACGATTATTTTAAAAGTATCATATTATTGTAAATTTAAAATTTATTTTTTCAATGTTTACTGCTTTATGTAAATCAAATGTGTGTATTAAAGTTTAATTGTTTAATCAAATATAAGGGTACGAATTAATGACATCCTATTGAAATTTATTTGTAAGATTGATATTTCTTCATATCACAAATAGGTTTTTATTTTATATTAGCACTTTTAGTTAATTTCCTGCAATTTCAACAACCATTAATATTTTGAAATAAGTATGGTAAGATGATTAAAACTTATTTATAAAGTGCTTAAATAATTCTATTGCCACCCTATATTTTAACTACATTTTTATTTGGACAGAAAATATATTACCTCAATAGCATTGTGATCTCGAGAACAAGAAGCAATTGGACTGGGATAATTTAAACGTGCACGATCGGGATGCAGATATACGGAACTAAATCGTCTTGATGTCGATGGTCCCGGAACGTCGTACATATCAATTATGGATGAACTGCCGGGTTTATTCGCCTTTTGAGCTGGACTTGCCTAAATAAACATATTATATTATATTATATCAAAATAAATCATATTTTTTTTTTTTGCTTCTAATATATTTTACATTCATTAGGTTTGTTTGACAACAGTCTTTACTCTTTTTTAAACAATTAAAACTATGGTACAAAAGATAAGCTTTGTAATGGTTTCTGTATAAGAAGTATGGTGATCTAAGCAGTCACCTGCTCGGTGAGAAATGTACGTAAATTCAATGAAAGAGAAAGAGAGAGAGAAWGACTATCTGTGGACAGGTTTGTACACAGCCACTCAACCTGTTCGTGCTTAAATAAGTAATATGATAAGCGTATATGTGTATTATTTACGTGTTAGCCATTTACGGCTTCTCTGTCTATTGTCGGATATGCATGATTAAATTGAATCAAACTAATTTTCAGCATATTTTATGCAAGGGGAGACTGATTTCACACAAGCAACTTTCCAAAAAATTTCACCTGGCTAGATGGATCGGATTAATCGAAATATACCGATGAAAATACGAATTTATAATATGCAATAATTTTAAATACTGTTTTCGATAATTAGATAGTTTATATTACGACTGACTGCACTTTTTAATTTAATTAATTAAATTTTTGTTTAAATGTTTTCAAAAAATTGTATCAATTATTTTGTGTTGATTAAAGCATAATATACCTGTACAGATTCGATTCCAGAATCTCCGTTTTGTATAATGAAACTTTGTTCCTTAACTCCAACATTTGGAAGCGGTATATCAATGTTCTGTTTATTAGACCACAATGGAATCATTTGTATGGACGTTTCATTTCTCGAAATTTTTTCATCGTTACCGTTATAGTGTGTATTACTCATTTCAATTTCAATATCAGGGAACTTCTTTTTCTTCGATCTATCCCATTTCATTTTATTCTCCATTAATGGAATCTGAAACACAATAAAATAAATTGTTCATATAACAGATAAATTAATGGCGATGATAACAGAATAAAATAAATATAGAAATAAAAACAAAAATAAAAATAATAATTTTTTGAAATTAAATATTGTAAGACAAAGCTCTAGAGTATAGACGATGAACTTTCAAAAAAAAAATAAGTAAATGTAATACATTTAATAGAAGCTAAATAAAAAAAAAATATTCAAACATTTCTTGGAATCAAAATGATTAGTACTAAAACTTAAAAAAAGTGGTTGGCACATTACATTTAGTATTTTTCATTACATTTATGCATAGTATACATAATTTTCATATCAAATAGCGGATTATATAATCTAGATTTATCAACATAAACGGTAGCAAATTCAATGAGTATTAGCAGTATTAAAAAAAAATGGTCGAACAATTTTAAAAATAATAYACTGTTTGTAAAATGCTAGTATAAATATTTTGTGAATATTTCAAGTATCTATCTTCGGATATTCGTTTTTTAATTCCAACAAAATAACGAATTCGATTTAATTTTAATTATGGTAAAACTATAGCTCCGTTAATAATCTAAAAAGTCTACGTAACTGATGATAAGCTTAGATACTAAGGTGGATTTTATAAATTAAAAATTAAATTTGTGCAAAATTCAGTTTAAAAAATACTATAAAAGTATTTTTTAGATCACCATAATTGTCCGTGTATTAAAGTTATAATTAACAATGGGTTTTATCACTGGATGGCCTCCCTCCTCATGTGTTTCATGTTGTAAAATTATTTATTGTAGTTCAAATTTGCTTATTATGCCTAGTAACATAGAGTGTTCTTATAAATCAATTTTTTTTTTAGTGTTTATTTATTATGAAAATTTTTAAAATAATCAAAGAACTATAAGTTCTGAGAAAAAAAAAACTTTTCAATAGTAATTTATCTGAGATTGGATTTTCAATATGGTTCTCAGTCATTGTATGATTTCTAAATGCATATTGATTCATACTTATATATTTTTCCATATGAAATACGTATTTTAAATTTCATTCTTAAAAAAAAAAGTTTTGGTTAGATTTCAAT